TTATAAAAATGCATGGGCATAAGGTCATTCTTATACCCTTCTTTCAACAAGTACTCACTTAGTCGATTATACAACATGTGCCCTGATTGTTTTAATCCATATAGAGATCTATTCAATTTTATTGAGTATTGTTCTCGAGAACTTCCATTTGCTGCTTCTGGCAGTTTAAATCCTTCTGGGAGTTTCATGTATATGTCATTATCTAGTGGGCCATATAAGTAAGCTGTGACTAAATCCATCAAGCGTAAATCAAGTCGTTCTCTTATTGCCAAACTGATTAGAAATCTAAAAGTGGTTGCATCCACCACATGAGAGTATGTCTCCTCATAATCAATACCGGGTCTTTGTGAGAATCCTTGTGCAACTAATCGGGCCTTGTATCTTACAATATCACCATTTTCATTTCTTTTTCGTACAAAGACCCATTTATATCCCACTAGTATTACACCTTCAGGTGTACGGACTACAGGTCCGAATACTACTCTTTTTTCGAGAGATTTCAATTCAGTTTCAATTGCTTCCTTCCATTTTGGCCAATAACTTTTTTGTCTACATTCATCAATGGATTTTGGCTCATGATCCTCATCATAATTCATGACATCTAATGCTACATTGCATGCAAAAACATCATCGACGTCGATTTGGTTTCAGTTCCATGTAATTCCGGACATGATAAAATTTGTTGAAATTTCTTCATTGTCAGGTACCTGAATATCTTTTTCCATCATGTCTAAGGTCTCTTCTAGAGATCCTTCAAAATTTATAGCTTCCTCGGTCTGGCCATTGTCAATAGTTGCTCCTTTTCTCTTCCAAGGGTTTTTATCTTTGGAACCAATGGGTCTACCACGCTTCAAGCATGTTTTAGAATCATTTGCAACTTGGGCTTGTCCTTTTGGGACATCAATTTTAATCGGAGCATTTTCAGCTGGTATATGTGACTTTGTCACTTTCTTTGGGTCAGTAAATGAGTCTGAAAATTGATTTGCTAAGTTTTGTAAATGAATTATCTTTTGGACTTCGAATTCACATTGTTTAGTACGAGGATCTTGATGAGATAATGATAATTCATTCCAACTAATTTCCTTTTGCAGCTATTTATTTTCTCCCTCTAATGTTGGAAAAACTAATTCATCAAACTGGGAATCTGCAAAACGATCCGTAAATAAATCTCCTGTCGTTGGCTCTAGGTACTTAATTATCGATGGAGATTCATATCCAACATATATCCCTACTTTTCTTTGAGGGCCCATTTTAGTGTGTGGTGGACCAATTGGAATATATACTGAACATCCAAATATTCTCAAATGGGATACATTTGGTTCCTGACCAAAAACCAATTGTGATGGGGAGAACTTATGATGACTTGTCGGCCTGATGCGAATTAGTGCTGCTGCATGTAATATAGCATGCCCCCATGCAGAAATTGGGAGCTTAGATTTCATAAGTAATGGTTTAGCAATCAATTGTAAACGCTTAATTAACGATTCCGCAAGACCATTTTGTGTGTGAACATGTGCTACAGGATGTTCAACACTAATCCCAATTGACATGCAATATTCATCAAAGGCCTGGGATGTGAATTCACCAGCGTTATCAAGACGAATAACTTTAATAGGAAAGTCTGGAAAATGTGCTCGTAATCTGATCAATTGAGCAAGTAGTCTCGCAAACGCCAGGTTGCGAGTTGATAATAATGATATGTGTGGCCATCTAGTTGATGCATCTATTAAAACCATGAAATATCTAAATGGCCCACACGGGGGATGAATTGGTCCACATATATCCCTTTGTATACGTTCTAGAAAAGTAATTGATTCGGAATTTATTTTAGCTAGTGATGGCTAGAGTATTAACTTGCTTATTGAGCAAGCAGACATGAAAAATTATTATGAAGAATCTGTTGGCTCTTCAATGAGTGTCCACATGAATTTTCGATTATTTTTCGCATCATTATTGAAGTCATCAGTAAACTTCTGGTTTACTATAGCATGTGATTCAATTGTATCGATTTTTGTATAGTACAAACCAGTAGAGAATGTAGGTAATTTCTCCACAATAAGTTTATTGCCTTGAGTTACACTCGTGATTTGAAGGAATTCATTATTTCCTTCACTAATTATCTCAATATGATATCCATTTTGTCGAATATCTTTAAAACTTAGTAAATTTCTTTGAGACTTAGGGGAGTATAATGCATCAATAATTTTCAATTTTGTTCCCCTTGGCAATAACACATTTTCTCTTCCTGAGCCTTCTATAATTTTGTACTGCCTGATATAGTACTCACACTAATTTCTTTCATCACAAATTGTGAAAAATATTTCTTATCTTTAAGTATGGTGTGAGTGGTAGCACTATCAACTAGACATAAGTCTTCACCATTGGTCGATGATTGAGATCTAAAGGGATTCATATTCTAATAGAATTAAAGGAACTAAAATAAGATCACTAAACCAAATAACTTAAATTAATAAATGACTCATAATAATGAAATATGCGAAACATAAAAATATCCAAAAACATAAAATTGTTCAAAAACAAATGTTCCATAAAGCATAAAGTCATAGTATTATGATAAAATTCTATAATAAATGCAAGCTAATTAATAGAGTTTATTCGCCAATGGGACATAATTTATTCAATTATTTTCTTCTGGATTAGGAAAGAAATCAGCCGCTTCCATGTGAGTTGTATCACCGTAATCAAAATCACCTTCGCCATCCTCGTACACCAAATTTGTTTCCACTTTCTTTCCTTTCTATTTGATTGATTGTTGATAAAGGTCTACTAGATGTTTGCATGAAAAGTAGAGTATGTTTTTTCTAACATTTCTGCATCCGTGATTTTCTTTCCACATAATTTCAATTGTGATGTAATTCGAAACATGGCTGAGTTGTATTCACTCACAGACTTAAAGTCTTGTAATCTTAAATGTAACAAGTCATAACGAGCCTTTGATAATATCATAGTTTTCTGGTGGTCATACCTTTCCTTTAGATTACTCCAAAGGACTTATGGGTCTTTAACAGTTAAGTACTCAGTCTTAAGGCCTTCATGAAGGTGATGGCGAAGAAATATCATAGCTTTAGCCTTATCTTGGCTTGTTGCAGTTTTGTTTTCTTTAATAGTATCACCAAGTCCCTTTGCATCTAAATGTATTTCAGCATCTAACACCCAAGACATATAGTTGTTTCCAGTAATATCAAGAGCAACAAATTCGAGTTTTGCAAGGTTTGACATGATTCACTGATATATAAAACAATATTATAAATTAGGAACTAAGATGAAATAATAACATATATATAAATATTAGCAGTCCATATTATTAATAACAAAAAGAGAAAGAATCAAGCAACACTAATTTAATTATTGTGCCAGTCATTTTGCAAATTGATGCTGAAGTTAAAGTTAATGATGATTAATGGTGTTTCACAAAAACTCATATAAAAATAGTATCTTTAAAGCATATATTCACAAAATCATAACATGTTCTAAAATTTGCATAACCCAGTTCAGCATCAAGATTTATGTCATGTATAAGATTGAAGTCTGAGCAGTACGAAAAAATAGGGAGGAAAGTGCATTAATTGATTATGAAGAATATTTAACATGCAAGATGGAAACCAAATGAACTGGACCAAAGGGTGCAAGTCATAAATGAGATAATAAAGCTATAGTTTGGAATCACATCAATATTCTGTAATCGCTACAGAAATGGTACAAAGGACTTTAGAAATATAACAAACATCTTGGCCCACTTCAATGAAACATAAAAATCAAGGTAATCAAGCAAAAGGAACTTCCCGATGAAATGATAAAGCAAATTATGCATATAAACTCTACTAATTACATTAAACAAAAAATTAAAGATTCACTATGGAGAAAAAAATGATCTATACCAATCCTCATAAGAGTCATTAACTTCACAAGGCCCATGATAAGAGTAGATCTAAGGAGAGGTTCACAATTATAGTAACTGCATGCCCAAGAATTGATTTTTAAAAGGTACAACTTTAAGAGTTAGTAACAATTAACAATACATCGTCTTCCTCAATTGCATTACCAGTTCTACTCCCAAATTTTGAAATTCCCAATTTCCGAAGAAAAGAGAGAAAATTAGGGTTCTTATTTTAGCAGCGGCAGAAAATTGAATGGTGGTAGAGAAAATGCAGATGGCATTGAGAGCCTGTGCTGAGGTACTGAGGTTAATTAGGCGTCTTCCCAAAGATACTCGCTCTTATTATGCTAAGTATGCTCGCGAAAATTTCGTCAATTGCAGCAAAACTACTAATTTCAAGGGTTTGGTCAAACACCCAGAAACTAAGATCTTGATTTCTAGCTACTAAAGTATCTAATTCGACTTACTTAATCAATATGAACCCAATACATCATAGTTTATTATCAAGAATTCAAGATATATATCTGCAAATAAATTAACAAAACAAATAGTATGTAAAATATAAGAAATTAAGAGGTAAAAATTCAGTAATTCACCTATAAAGTCACGGAATATGGATGAGTGGATGACGGAGCAGTGGAGCACCGAGCACGGGAAACCGGAGGCGACGCCTGTGGGACAGCCGGCAGCGAGAACAGGGGCTAGAGCGGTGAACGGCGGCGATGGCAGCGACGGCTTACGGGATGATAGATGATTGCAGTGATTTAATAATCTCGTGTTACTTTTTCTCTCTTTTTTTTGATGTGTTTCCCTTGTGATTTGTCTTTGATTTTCGATGATAATAATATTTTTGTAGCAATGGTGCTGATAACGTGCTAAATATGGAAGAGAAATAAAGAGAGATATGAGAGAAATTTTGTTACGTTTTATCTCTTATTCCATCTAATACGAGATATATATACATGTATATTATCTAGGGTTCTATCATCGGATAAAATCAAATACCAAATTCTAGGATGTTCTAGATAATACATGAGATAATAGTCATCCACATTTAGATATTTTATAACAATTAAAATTTTATTCATTCGTTCATTTTATTTTTAGAACACATTACTTCGTGTTTGCCGCCCCATTTCAGAAAACCTAACCGTTAAGAGAGAGGAGAGAGAAGATAAAGGTTGACTGCTAATGGTGATTTCTCCGTCAAATCAGCATATTGGCTGGGGGTTTTAGGAGGTAGTTCCACTTATACTGCAATAAATGATGTTTTGTGGAAGCGCATATATGGCGGATAGATGGACCCCCAAAATTCCAACACTTCTTATGGAGAATTTGTTCGATGGCTGTTGCTGTGAATGCTGAGCTATTCAGACGCCATCTTCGTACTAATGACCTATGCAAGAGGTGTGGACTGATGGCTGAAACAATAAAGCACACCATTTTTGAATGCCCCTAGGCCAAGCTCATTTGGGAAAAAAACTCTTTCTGGGAGTTGCTGCAGTAGCAAACACCGGATGACATCAAGGATAGATGCCTTTATGTTTTGGGCTGATAAATTACAAAGGCATGAACTCTGCACCTTCACCTCCTTGATGTGGGCAGCCTGGACTCACAAAAACCAGGTTCTTTATCAATAGAGCACTACCGATCCTATCTTTCTTGCAGGGAAGTTTGTGAAGTATGTGGAAGATTATAAGGTGTACGCAGGCTAAGTGTATGGAACAAGACCCAAATCCTGTGATATTACTGCTGGAAAGTGGGAAATACCAAGGGTAGGAGTAGTGAAATTAAATGTGGATGCAGCCATCTTCCACAACAATTTGATGGGCATGGGTGCTGTTGCTAGAGATAGCAATGGGCAGATCAGGTTTTCTGCTGTGAAGGAAGTTCAGGGAGCCTGGAACCCCACGGTAATTGAATCTGTTGCTATGGAGAATGGTCTGGTCGTGGCAAGAAGATTCAGGTATAATCGGGTTTGGGTGGAGAGTGATGCTTTGGGAGTGGTCCAAAAAGTGAAAAACCGGCACAGTGGTTACAAGTATCTATTTAAATTCATTGATCGAATTGTTAATCTCGGGAATGATTTTGATTACTTTCATTGTAGTCATATTAAAAGGGGGGGCAATACTTTAGCTCACCTAGTAGTTAGATCTTGTCTGGAGGAGTTAGTTGAACCTGCTCGTTTTGACCCTTTTCCGGCTAGCTTTCAAACTCTGGCGGAAATGGATTTGATTTAATAATATTGCCACCCGTTTGTTTAAAGAGAGAGGAAAGAGAAGACGAAGCACAACCCACTCGTCTTTGGCTTTTTCGTCTCAAGGCTCACTTCGCAGCGTCGTCGAGTGCTCCACTCTTCGTCTCAGTCCGATCAATGCCCGTGCACAAAGACGACGAAGTCCAGGTTGTTCGTGGTACCTCATGGTCCGAAATGCTTCTTGGGAGCTCGGAATTAAGGTATTTCTCGCTTTCTTTTTGTAGATCTATTGTTTTTTCTTTCAATTATGCGATTTAATATTGTTTTTGTGAGAAATTTGATGTCAAACCTTAAAATTCTCGATTATTATTTTATTATAATCGTTGATTCTTTCAACTTAGGGTTTTTGTAAATTTTCTGATACTGCAGATCTGATATCTTGCATTGTTGGTTATTGATGAGTTATTTATGCGTTCGAAGCTATTTAAGACCCTAATTACTGAGCCAACTCGTGGGTCAGTGAGCCGAATCGATTGGTTGAGTCAGGTTTCCGACGTCTTGGGTTGTCAATGGGGTGATGAGGGTAAAAGGAAGCTTGTTGATATTTTTGCGCAGCATTTTGATGTAGATTTTGATGCCGTAAGGTTACAATTTTTTATCTTTTGTTAATATTTTTATAAATTTATTATTTCTGATTGAATGGGTGATGACATCTAAAAGTGATTTTTTTTTTTTTTTTATTGACATTTTTAAGATGTTTAAATTTGAATAATAAATGATTTTTTTTCTTCTTATATTTGGGTAATTCTGATTCACATTGTTATAGACAATTATACATCATTAACTTAATTAGCACATTTTGAATTTCGGTTTCGGTTTCGATAGTAGTGTAGTGTTTAAAGGTGGTAGGATTCGAAATGCTATGAGTATGCATGAAATTGGGAGGTGGGGGTTTTCTTTTAAGGTTACTGGGGGTATAATTTTGATTGAATTAGCGTGGTCGTTGTACTGTCTGCATTTATTATTAGTTTTCAATTTCTCCATAGCACATTGTTGACGCGTTTCGAATAAATTGTCTAATGTAAATGAAACTTGGGCAGGTAGCTGAGGCAATGGATAAAATGTATAAATTATTTTAGTCACTTTAATTTAAGTTAAACTATACACTAACCAGGTACTAAATTAAATACATACTTGTCACTATGTTCAACTTTAACTGCATTGTTTCTTCTGTTTTTACTATGAATTGGATACTTCTTTCAGTAATTCTTACTGGCATTATTTGTAATTAATTGTAGGTAAATCCACATATGCACCTGCTGAAGCTTTGTGACTTTGGAAGCACAAAAGTTTTGGTATGTGGGTAAATTTGTTTAGTCATCACATCATTTCAGATGTATGTTACCTTTGTGTCATGCCACATCTAATTACATTCTCCTCACTTGCAGATAAAAGGTGAGCCTATTGTATCTTATATCTGCTCTAGTTACTATAGAGAACCAGAGCTAATATCCGGAGCAACTGAATAAACTACAACTATTAACGTCTAGCCTGCTGGCTGTGTGTTTGCAGAACTGCTTCTTTGACAGGTAGCTTAATACTCTTGTAAGTTTTGGCTGTTGGGTTGCTATTCTTGCTATTGCTGTCTTGATCATGATCTCATGTATCTTGTCTTGATCATTGTAGGGAATTTTTCAAACTCATCTTAGAGCCCTATTGTGGTTCATGCTTTTAGGCATGGTGGCGTTCCAAAGAAAAAAGGATAGAGATAAAAGAGTCGCCAACAAATTTTAGGAACTTGTAAACCGTTCACGGGTGTGAATGTTACACCCCATTCACGATCATGGAGATCGCTAACTCCATAGTGGTTCGGAACCATGACTGGATATGGAGATGATGGTACGAATCCAACCTAAAAGAAATTGAACCCGCCCTAAATAGGCCTCTACTCAATTCTTATGATATTCATGTGCGTTTTTCGATCAACATACATATATCAAGTTAACTCTAAACCTGTTTAATCTATGTTGGTTGATTATTAATGCACAATTAAATCTACTATTGGTGTTCACTTGAATTAAAATCATATTATGTCTAAAATCAAATTATTAACTATCTTATTAGGTGTGATTTCAAGAACTAATACCCTTTAAACTTGCAAAAAGGGGTGTGATAAAGCAATATCAATAAATCAGAAATAATCAACCAACATATGATTAATACAATAATCATCATCAAAACATCATTAGTAGTAGGATCCTAGGCATGATACTAGACGGATTAATAACAAATCCTAACATGTCACTAATAATCAAATCAAAGCATTATCCTAAACATGATACTAGGAAATCATAAAAACATCCTCAATATGATGCTAGGAATCATAAAGACATCCCAACATGATACTAGGAATTAAATTAACATCCTAAGTGCTTTGGGTAAATATACCCATGCCATGTGGCCCAATCGAAAGGTGACACGTGTCACCCTAGGAGAGGTTCTTGTTCTAAATGAACCAATTTCCAGTTAACACGTGGCACTCCCAGTTAGTAGGTAAAAAGACTGCCTTCAGGCCCAATTCCCTAGATTTCCAGAAAGTGGCGTAGCCCATCAGTCCTAGGTTTCTATAACCTAGAACCGGGGCACAAGTCCCAATCACCCTATAAATGGGAAGATATATCTCCCTTGGGGGACGGATTTTCGATAATTCATTAATTACGCATTTAATTCTCTCATTAGAGAAAATACTCAATCTTGGAATCCGAGAAGATACCACTTTACTTTCCGCACTTTTTTACATTCTCCATACACGTTCTAACTTGAATGTCGAAGGTAGAACTCCACCGAACCGGAGTCTCTGTTGTTTTGCAGGTACACGCGTCCGAAATCCAGCCTTAGTGGCGTAATCTCCCGAGGGACACAGAAAACCCCGAAACATTTGGTGCCGTCAGTGGGGAAAGTACCTCTTAGATGGCTTCGTAACAGTATGTACCGCCTCCTAATCAGAAACGGCCTACGGCCGAAGCTGAGGTTTATTCAGACTATGACACTGATGACGACTTTAAAGTCGAAACGTATGAGGCCTTTGATGGGTCACTCAGAACCCAAGCGCACCCGTCCCACGGAAAGAAGGGAATGGGGCGATGATCAAGCTGATCCAAGTCAGTCATCCGGGACAGCCGTCTAGAAAACCCCAGGCGCCAGAAGGCACAACCCCAATAAATCGAGATGAACTCATGAAATTCATGACAAGTTTCAAGGGGGAGATAAAGGACCTGATCAGCAAAAGGACGGCTGTCTCCAATAGGGATCAGTCGGCCAATAAGCCTTCTCTTTCTGAGAAGAACAAGCCAGTCAGGGACCCTGAGCTCACTCCGCATTCTAAATTAATGGAGGGGAAGCGGCCCTTGATTCATCTTACCAAGATCCGATCACCTAAGACAAGGAAGAGGAAGGTCATCCGGCATGTCCAGCCAGATGGCTCAAAGAGGACATACTCTGATGCCCGGTTCTTAATCGAGCAGAAGAGAAACCAGCAACTGTCTAAGTCGGCCTCAATGTCGACTTACCCAAACAGCTTCTAGAATACCTCAATGAGGTATTCTCATTCTTTATGAGAAATTCAGTGAGGCGGCCCGTCCGTCCACACTGGCTCTCATATGATCCATTCGGCCCCATATGTGCCTCAACCTCCATACATGCCATATGGACAATATTACATGCAATTGGCCCTCTTTGGGGGTCAGACGGCCCAAAATGTCCAACCCTTGGACTGGCAGCTTCGTCTGCTAAAACTTGGAGAACAACCTTCTGCGTTCTCTAAGGAGATAACCGAGGCTCCAGAGCCGACCAAGGTTAAGAATGTCATGGTGGGTACTTATTATGGTATCACCAATCCTGAAAACCACCTCATGGCTTACACCAACCTCATGTACTTGCAGGAGTTGGACGATGTCACCTGAGCCGGTGCTTCCCGGCTACATTGAAGGGCATCGCCCAACAATGGTTCGGAAACTTGCCTGCCGGCTGCATCAATAGCTTCAAGACGCTTGCGTTATTGTTTGCTTCTAACTTCTCTATGAATATCCCTGCCAAGAAAACAAGACTCGACTTGGGTGTAGTGCACGGAGATAGAGAAGGTCTACGGTCATACATCAAGCGGTTCAATCTGGTGAGAATCTAGATTCAAGGGATGTCTGACGAGGTGGCCTATACAGACTTCTTAAAGGGTCTGAAGGACGGGTCGACCTTTAAGTTCAACCTCGTCAGAAAGAGGGTTGCTACCCTCTAGGAAGCGCTGATGGAGGCGAAAGCCTATATTCAGGCGACCAAGCTCTGTCCATCAGCAAGAAATCGGACTCCAAGAAGTCTGACAAAAAAGAGAGTCGATAAGCTCAGCCGGCTAAGAGAGCTGAAGAGAATAAGAAGAGAAAAGAGATCTGGACGGTTGACGACTCTGATTAGTGGTCCCAGAAGAAGAAGAAAGAATTTAAACCGTACGTCTCAAAGTACGAGTTTGACAAAGATTGTTACTACATCCTCATGGAGATAAAAGACCGGGTGACCATAGAGAAGCTCGCTGCTATGAAAGATTCAACCAAAAGCCGGAACAAAAACAAGTACTGCGACTTCCATGAGGATATTGGCCACGACACCAATGACTGCTATAGTCTCAAGCGGCTGTTGGATCGTCTGGCTGATAAGGGGTTGTTTAATTCTTACATCTTGAAGTCTAAGGTGACCCTTAAGACAAACCCTGGACAGTCGTCCAAAAACAATGCCCAACCTGCTAGTAGTTCAGACACTGACAAGGAGTCGATCTACACAATAGCAGGCGGCTTTGCTGGAGGGGGCCCAACCATCCAGGGCACCAAGGACCATGTCAGGCGGATGGATATCAGTTCAGTTGATGAGGGTCAGGCGTCTATAAACACTTTTTCTGAGGTCATCATCACTAAAAAAGACAAGGTCAAGGTTTGTCGACTGCATGATGAACCTATTGTCATTGAATGCAAAGTGAACAACCAGAAGATTGGTAGGATCGTCATTGACACTGGCAGCTCGTCTGACATCATCAGCTACAAGTGCTTGCCAAAGCTGAAGTACTAGCCCGGCAGCATGCACAAGGTTTCTCACCCCATGGTTGGTTTTGGGGGTGGGGTTGTGCACCCAGTCGGATAGGTTGACCTACCCATCCGGCTAGGGGAGAAAGGAGAAGGACGCCACATGGTAGTCTAGTTCTTGGTTGTAGAGGCGTTGACCGCCTATAATCTGATATTGGGTCGTACTACTCTGAACGAATCCAAGGCCATCATTATCCCATCCTTCATGATGTTGAAATTTTGAGATGGATGATGAGAATGTTGGCTCTCTGAACAGAGATCAGAAGACGGCTAGAGAGTGTTACCTCTTAGACGTCAAGCTCACAGTAGCAGCATCCGGCCAAGGTGAGGAGCCAATTGACCTCGACGGTGTCAAGGAAGCCGAGGCTGCTTCAACGGCAGCTGGATAGAAAAGAAAGGCCGACCAATTGGTGGCCTTGAAAAAAGAAAAGCAATAGCAATCACTGTCCGGGGAACGGCCAGATGAACTCCTTCCCTAGCCGGCTGGTGAACACATTGACATTTCTCTGGACGACACACGTTCGGAGCGTATTGTTAAGGTGGGAACGGTTGCTTTTGCAAAATTGGGTGCAGACTTGCACAACTTGCTGAAGGAATTCAAAGACATCTTTGCCTTTGAGGTGGAATAGATGCCGGGCATCAGTCTGGATCTAGCTGTCCACAAGCTCGCTGTGGATCCTAAGAAGAATCCGGTTAGGAAAAAGAAAAGAAACCACGGCAAGTGGAGAATTCAGGCGGCAACCGCCAAAGTGAAAAAGTTGTTAGGCACCAGGTTCATTCGGCAATGCTACTTCCCATATTGGGTTGCGAATGTTGTGCTTGTAAAGAAGCCGAATGGTACCTGGCGCATGTGTGTTGGTTACACAGACTTGAACAAGACATGTCCGAAGGATAGTTATCCACTTCTAAAGATCGATAGTCTGGTCGACTCTACAGCCAGACATGCTTTGATGAGCTTTATAGACGCCTACTCAGGCGTTCACTAGATACCCCTGTGGAAAAAAGATATAGAGAAGACGACATTCATCACTGATCAGAGGTTATTTTGCTATACTGTGATGCTGTTTGGCTTAAAAAATGCGCCTGCTACTTTCCAACGAATGATTAGTACGGTCTTCATTAATCAAATTGGGAGGAATGTAGAGGCGTACATAGATGACTTGATAGTCAAATCCAAGCTACAGGCGGAACACCTTGCTGACCTCCGAGAAACCTTCACCACACTTAGGCGGCACAAGGTCATGCTCAATCTTAAGAAGTGTGTCTTTGCTGTTGAGTATGGGAAGTTTCTCGGATTGTTAATTGACCAAAGGGGGATAGAGGCCAGCCCTGATAAGATACAAGCGGTCATGGACATGAAGTTACCCTGCACTGTCAAAGAAGTTCAGAAGCTAACAGTTTTTCTAGCGGCATTGGGGAGATTCCTCAGCCGGTCAGGTGACAAGTGCCTCTATTTTTTCCAAGCTATCAAATAAGACTAGGTTTGAATCGTGGGATGATGCTAAGGCGGCCTTTTCAGAGATTGAAAGAACACTTGCACTCTTTACCAAGGCTTGTTAGCCCTTTGCCAAAAGAGGTGCTTTACATGTACTTAGTCATCTC